TCTCTTGAAAATAAATGAGATTACCCTGGGTTTACACTGGAGGAAATGAGAGGAGAATCTGTCTCAGCATCTTTGCAGAGCTGCCAGGTTAGTTGAAATACCGTCTCTGTCCCTTGGAGATATTTAAGAGCGATGCACATACATCAGTTAAGCACTGATTTTCTGGGCATTTGAAGGGCTGGTGTAACAGAAGGGGCCTCCAAGGGGGGGTCACCTCAGCACCTGGAGCTCCTCTGAGCACGAGCTCCTCGCTGGTGGCACATCCCTTGGTGCAGTGCCGCACGGCGGCCTTTCTCCAGCCAAATGCAGCCATGCTGTGTCCCTGGGTCATGGAGCACCTGAAGGACCATTGGCTCCAAAATACAAAGCCTTCCTGTGGGAGAGCATGAGGCAAGAGACACGTATGGGGCACTCATGCTTGGAGCAGTGTCGTGGTTTAACCCCAGCCAGCAACTAAGCACCACGCAGCCGCTCACTCCCCCCCCATCCAGTGGGATGGGGGAGAAAATCAGGAAAAGAAGTAAAACTCCTGGGTTGAGATAAGAACGGTTTAATAGAACAGAAAAGAAGAAACTAATAATGATAATGATAACACTAATAAAATGACAACAGTAGTAATAAAAGGATTGGAATGTACAAATGATGCGCAGGGCAATTGCTCCCCACCCGCCGACCGACACCCAGCAAGTCCCTGAGCCACGAAATCCCTGCCCCCCACTTCCCAGTTCCTAAACTAGATGGGACGTCCCATGGTATGGAATACACTGTTGGCCAGTTTGGGTCAGGTGCCCTGGCTGGGCATGAGAAGCTGAAAAATCCTTGACTCTAGTCTAAACACTACTGAGCAACAACTGAAAACATCAGTGTTATCAACATTCTTCACATACTGAACTCAAAACATAGCACTGTACCAGCTACTGGGAAGACAGTTAACTACATCCCAGCTGAAACCAGGACAAGCAGGTACCAGAGAAGGGACTGCTCAGTATTCAGTAGGAAGGGAGGCTGGGTGGATGTAAAAGGAGCCTGTTAAGACGTGGTGAGGGAAATTATCTAAGGCATGCCCCAGTTAGGGCAAGTAAGGGCAAAAAGAGCCCCAAACTGCAACTAATCACACCACATTCCTGAGTTCTTAGGGGGAAAAAAAAAAAAAAAGAGAAAAGAAAGAAAGAAGAAGATGATCCCATCCTCAAAGTGATTATAAAGGATCAAGGACTAACAAGGCCCTGAGCTCTGCACAAGGAAACACTGTCATGGGTTGTAACTACATAGACAACACGGACGCTTTCAGAGCCTGGTTGTTCATGTAAAGTGGGGGCTGAAGCTCTCACGATCTCTTCTGTTACCCTTGCCCCCAAAGCCAAGGCTAAACAGGGCCCATGCCCACATGTAGCAGATAGAGTGGCCTTGCTGCATTAGAGTTCCCGTTCTCATGAGCTCAGACTTCTTTTCTCCCCTCCCTTGAGTCAATGAAGTTGAATAAAAAAAATTGGAGAAGAAGTCAGCTTGAAAGCTTTGAGTTTAATTTGGCTTTAGGTCAAAAGCAGAAGGGGATGACTAGTATTTTATTTAGTAGATACAGGCTTTTTCTTTCTTTTAATTGTTTTTTTGAATTCTGCACAGAAGACTAATGGATCTTACTGAACAAGTCTTACGGCTGCTCAAAAACTTTGAAAATATGTGTGGAATTTCTTAGACGTTAAAAACATCAAGTTTTTTGTTCAAAAACCTTAAGTCTTACTTCAGAAGCATCTTTCACTGACTGGACTACATTTCTTTTCTACAAGGGGAAAGTTAGACTCCAAACTTCTACCCAGGCCCAGTTGCAGATTTTCCCCACATCAGCCCAGGTTCTGTATAAGTATTGCAAACCTGATTAAACTTGTGCAGAATTTGGAGCTTCTCATTATGCCATAAACAAAGAGACTGTTCAACTTCTAAGAGTTTTTTCCTGACGGTGCATATGTTGCATCCTGATAGACAATGGAAAGGTGAATCTTTCCCACAACAATGGAGAATAAAACAGAGAAGAAAACAAACCCTTCATTCAGATCAACCTTCAGGGAAACTGAGATGATTTCCATCATTTTTATGACTTTTCCCTAGAGGCAAAAGACATCTAATTAGCAAATCCCACTACAAGTTTGCTCTGATTTGACAGAAAGTGAATGTGACAAGCAGAGAAATTATAAGCCTTACATTTCCAGTTAGCCAGCTTGGGCTGATAAAGCTAAGTTCAAATGGGTTTGGGGGATCTTAAAGCTTGGGGAGTAAAAATCCAGAGGGTGAGCTGGTTCAGCTAAAAATGTGAATTTATAGTGTTCCAGTCAGTGTTATCTGATGGCAATGTCACAGCAGCCCTTTCTGAATGTGCACTCACATTTCCAGCTACAAAGCATTCCAGCCAGTTCTGAGATGGTCCCTGCAGTCCACACCTGAGGAGGAGTTGAATGATACCAAACAGAATCAAACCTTGATTTCTCATGAAGAAATAGGGCATGAGTAAAACAAATATTAATTGTGAATTTAATTAGTCAATGCTGGTAATTAATCATGCATTACTGTTAATGATGTGTAGGAATCCTCAGAGGTGGGAGATGATCCTCCAGGAAAGAAGACTGCGCAGCCTAAATGAGGTGATGTCCCCATTGCTAAAATCAGCAAGAGTTGACCCACGAGGTTGCTTTGTTGTCTTTATTGGAAGATAATACTAGCGGTGTCTCCTCCCACTCTGATTTAATATTCAGACTGGACTTATGGGGCAAGCAGGCCCTGACCAAGGGGTTGGTGGGCTCTTGCAGCTGCGCAGGCAGACACTAAGGGAGTCCACAGAACTCATAAATACTGCCAGGTGAACGGTTATGTTTGAACCTTTCCAAAACTCTGCAATTTATAGACCAATTGTATTTCTAAGTATTCTTCCAGCAGCTACAGAATACTCTACTGAGAGAGACCTACCTGATTTTCTGAACTTCAGCAGAACCTTGGAACAACTGCTAAGGATCTCTAAAAAAAATCCAGTTATCTCTCTAGAGCATAGAAAAAACAGCATTCTTGCTGCAAAAGCCCTGTAATCTGTGTCTACAAAGCTTCTAAGCTTCTCAGCTGTGCTGTGGGTCAGGTAGCCATGTCCTGCAGACATAACTGTGGAGAGTGGTCAGATAACAAGAAACTTTGGAAAGCTACTTGCAGAAGTCTGTGATGATAGGCAAAACTCCTTCCTTGGTGTAATAGAGTTTGGCACTCAGCAAAGTTCATTTAGGGCAAGTTTCCTAAGCCAAAAGATCTTGTGGCTGCACAGGTGAGAGTTCCCACCACACTCATGATAAATCTTGCAAGTACTACTACAGCCAAGTTGCCAAGTACCATCTCGTTGGCTTCCCTCCCTGAGCAGCAGCCCAAAAGGACACCAAGCAAGGAGCTACCATTGCCTCAAGCAGAGTTGCTCTCAGTGTTTTCATTCCTTTCCAGAATGTGACTTTGCATATGTTTTTTCAGAAAAATAGTAACGTTTACAAAAGTCCTGCCTTTCTCCCCTGTGCTGACAGATTGCTGGAAGCTTCATCATGGCTGGATGAAGGAACTGTTAAAATTCATCTGCCTGCCAGTCTATTAAGAGAATGGGGAAATGCGCCTAAGAAGAGAGCACACAGTGGCCCAACAAGGAGAGGAACAGCCAGCAGAGACCTCCCATAAAACAGCAAACCTGTGCCAACACTCGTTCTCCAGCATCTTCCAACGAAGCAACGTCTCCCCACCCAAAGCTGCCCATAGGTTTCACCTAATACCTCTTGCTAAGGGATTTTCTGTTGGAGAAAGTCATGGTTAGTTGGTCAGGGAATTTAAAAGAGTTAAAAGGAGAAAGGTGTCCATGCATACAACTATATTTACTTTTTTTTCAAAACATCAGACTGTTCACCCAAACAGTCTGGCGAAGAAACTCCAGTTCTGAATGATTCATTCACAATGCTGCTTCTCTGGGACTTTATGGAAGACTTAGGCTTTCACTTTTCAGTAGTTTCTTTTAGCTATTTTTCACATCCACAAATGATCTTCACACCTATATTGCCATTCCATACCTTCCAATGTGTTGAGCCCAAGTCCCACTAAAACTACTCAGAGTGGCTTAGATGTCCCAAGGTGAAATAGGTTTTACTTGTTTTGCTCCTGGTTTCCAGTTTCTAGGGTACAGTGAGGTTACATAGTCAAACTTCAATTGGCAGGTCTGAAATTTGGGGTCCTGGTGTACAGTGACTTGACATAGCATAACTGAGCTGTAACAACTGATTTTGTCAGAGCACTGTTTCATGATAACACAGTGGAAGCTGGCCATGTGGTTTATAATTGTAGATATATCTGTGGCAACCTTCACCTTCATATCTAAGCATGCATTTTATCCACAGAATATTCCCAGAAGTGTGCTGGGTGTTTATAAAGCTCACAGATAAGTCTTAGATTTTCTTTGCCAAACAGGTAACAAATGTGCAAACAGTATTTTTGTCATGTCAGTCAAAAGATATCTAAAACCAGAATTTCCTAATCCTGCCTCCCCGAGGAAAATGATGGCATAAAAGTTAACGTTGTAAAATACACTATCTGAGATAACATAGGAATTCATTAAAATTTTGCCATTCAAAAGGGCCTAAACTTTTGTAAGCTAGAAAACTTAGATAGGGGTCCAAAATAAGCTTGCATCTGCCCTACTATTTCAACTTTCTGACAAGTATCTACATAATGTATAGCAGTGACATATTCACTCTATTGGGTTAAGAAAAAAGTGTTACAAACATGTTTTTCTTGAAATTCTTATAAACGTGCATCCATGATATACCTGAACAGGCACTAAACGTGCCATCACCAGCTCTGTGGAAGTATGTGCTGAGATGGTCATTATCTGCCACCAGTACACATCTCTTGGAGGAATGAGGCCAGACTGGAAAAGCCTTTTTACTAATCAGACCAGAATGATTCTGTAACAAATAAGGAGGAATTTGCCTTACCTGTCTATGCTGCTGAGAGACTGGATACTGCAAACCTGAGATTTGCTGGCTTTGCTGCATTTTCTGAAGCATCATTTTTTGCTGCATTGCTAGGGGTACATTAGGTGGCCTTTGAAGAGAATGGTTTGGGAGAGGTTGAGCAGGTTGCGGCTGCGGCTGTTGTTGCTGCTGTGGCTGCGGCTGTTGCACGGGGGCTGAACCCTGTGCCTGCTGCGTGTAGTGCAGAAGGGCAGGCTTGTTTTGGGAGCCCAAAACTGAAGGCATCTGCTGGTTTGTTTGCTCTGAGTTAAAGTGAAACAAAGGCTTCGTGTTGCCATGATGCTGCTCTAGTGGTGGCTGAGCGCTGCTGATAAAGTTTCTGTTGAGGTCCTGAGGCTTCTGTTGCATGATTATGTCCATGGGATTGCTCTGGGGAGTGGTTGGTTTATAAACGTAGTTGTTCATCCCTTTCGACTGGTTTCCATTCACTGGTACCCCAAGCATTGCTGAGCTTTGTGGGCTGAACTGCTGCTGGCGAAAAGAAGGGCTGGGGATTTTCTCTTGCACGAAGGGTCCAGGGGAAGGTCCTGATGGAGACAGATTGGACCAGTTGGCTGTCTGGTTCTGCTGCTGCTGTTGCTGCTGAATCAAGGCATGCTGCTGCCGGTTGGCTGCGATCTGTTTGAGCTGCTGTGCATGAGACACCTCCTGCCAGTTAGGTAATGGCCGACTGGATGCAGAAGAAACCTGTGATACCTGTGTTTGACTCTGAGGCACCGAAGGAATGGGTGAAGAGGTGGACATGGCAGTGGTGGCCATAGTGAAGGCTGGACCTGTAGAAGAAGGCCTCATCTGTGGGGAGCCCACAGGAGCTTGATTCATGCCTGGTGCATATTCACTTTTTATCACCATCTTATCCATCTGCAGAGATCTCACAGGTCCCCTCTGGCTCTGCTGCCCAAGGTCAATGTTGAATGGCTCGTCTTGTTTTATCGTGGCATTTATCATATTCTCTAGCTCAAGATCACTCATTGGCGGCACTGATATGTTAGTCAGTTCATTAAATAGTTCCTGAAGCTCCAGATCCATCATTTGTTCCCACGAGTCTTCCCCATATCTGTTAGGGAACATGTTCTCATGGGACATCTGGCCATCTAAGTGTTTGCTGCAGGACATCGTTTCTCCTGGTTCTTTCTTTACCTCTTTCAAAGTCATGTTAAACATGCCATTCCCACTAGCATGTGTATTGTTTGCTAGGTTGCTGGCCTTTCTTTGTGGTCCTTGCCCCACAGACATAGTTCCTGACATTGACTGGCTTTGGCAATTGTTAACATGTTGCCCACCTTGTCCCACTGAGATATTATCACCCACTCTTATCCTCTTAATGTCAAGGAAAGAGCTCTCTGAAACACCATTGGGCCTCTTGTTGTTGACAGGCGACAGATTTACCACCAACTTTCTCTTCAAGGAGCCTTGGAGCTGAAAGAAGCAGAGACAAAAAAAAAATGATCATTAGATGACTCTGAAGAAACAATCTGTAGTCTACTTGCTAGAAGGATCTTGAAAGGCAACAGGCAAGTAAGCATTGCTTAGTACAGAAAGCTACTCTGTGCTTTCTCAGTCAATGAAACTATGCAGAACTGTAGGAAAATATGTTGTAAGTGAGGTATCTCCCTGCCACCACCCCTGTCCTTGTAGCCACCAGCATTTTTCAAGCACTGCTGCCTCCTGTTGATCACAGACCTCCTTTCCCCCATGGGTGTGAGTGGAGGGAGGTGGCCGGACCTGTAGCTGGCAAAGCCTAGGGCGTATCTGCCCCAGATTTGCTCCCATCTAACTGTGCCAGACAGACTGAAAGTATTTTTAGATAGCAGAGACTAATGCAGTCATGAAATCTGCCCTTGTGCCTATCCAGGGCTGCAGGATTTTACTCTCATGATTTTGGTATGTGATCCAAAGACCATTTTTGACTGCTGTAGAGGCCAAAGGTCCTAGGAGACTTTTTAAAGGCACATGCAAGATCCAGGCATCCCAATCTCACATAGGTTTATACTGGCCAGAGATGTGTATGATAAAGATGTTAGATGTTAACTTGTTCAAAACTGAAAATGAAGCCACTGGAGCCACGTCAGGTTATGTCAGCCAAGGGTCTGGCCCATGATGTACTGCTGGATTATTTTCCAGAGATGTCTATTAATACATTAATCCCTAATTGTTTATGTCCTGAAACATCTGCTATAAAACACACAGTCCACACAACACTGCTCTGAGAACTGTAAGTCTATTTCCTTTTCCTTGAATACTTACAGCAATACTTTCATCTGCTCACAAGCCCTGTGGGCCTGCCGAAGGAAAAGACGTTCACGGCTCTGTCCACCTTATCTACACTCATCTGCCATGGTTGTACACACAAATTCCCACCCCACGCACACAAAACAAAGATGTAGTCCCACAAGCTGAAAAGTTTGGACTTGGTGCATATGCCCTCAAGTAAGGTGCAGATACCCTCAAGTAGAGTTAATCTGAACACGATTCATAAAAGAACAGATCACTTTTAAACAAGTGCAGCTGTCATATCTTTAGCTCTGTACATTAAAGGTGCACACACCAAGCAGCGAACACACACTCATGCAGTCCTCGCTCAGTCGACACACACGCTGTCGCTGTTTCAGCTGTGAGCAATGTCAGGAAACCCCGCAGGGAAACATGGCTCATCTTCTGCCTTTCTGTGCCTGAGCAGGAGTGCACCGGCCTCGGAGGCAACAGGACAATCTTATCTGACAAATACCTGTGTGTGCCAGTGAGAAAACGGCGCCTGTACAAACTGTGATACCTTGGGAGGCTGTGATGGGCAGAGGGAACACTGAGAACTCTGATTTTCCAGTTAGGTGAGGAAGGATGATTCATGAAATCTTCCAATCACATTATTTGTATCATGCTGTTTCATGTACAGAAGTCCATGGGCACGCAATACTCTGTTGTGGCCCCCATTCCCCTCAACTCCAGGCTTATCTATAGGTAAGAGCTCTTCCCAGATAACTCCAGGTGTGAACACTTTTATTCTGGTGTGAATACCAGTGAGTTGCTTGGGAAGAGCTCAAGTAACAAATACATATTTCCTCCGTACCCACCTATCCTTCCATTGCATCAGCAGGTCACTAAGTTTAGCCCGCAAAAATAAAGCTTGTAACTTCTCTCTCTGACACCGAAAATCTCATCTCATCTCTCAAGTTAAGTTTCCAGCATAGCTTTTGAATCACAGATTCATGTTTTCACTCCATAATGACAGACATGTTGGTGCCTAGTTGTACAAGTCCACAGACCTTGTGCCTTCAAGAGTAACTAATTGTCATTAGGTGTCCCCAGGCGGGGAGTTTTGGGTGGTCACTTGCAAACTGTGCAGACTGCCTTTGGTTAGTGTGTTCCTTCTAACACATGAGTCACTGTACTTTCCTTTGCAAAAAAAAAAAGGTAAGCTGCACTTCCTTTTCCCATCAGTTTTGCTGTCAGTGTGTTTATTAGAAATCATTCTTGTGCCCCCAAACTCATCTTCCCGGGAAATGGGGAAGTCCCCATGTTATCAGAATACATGACTTGGCAGCGCGTCTTTCTTTCAGATGTTCTGCTGACAGAAAGGCTGAACAGATAATGAAAAATATATCCTCTGCATATGTATATGCTTTACGTAGTTAATATGCCTTTCTGAGTTAATTTTGCTTTTGCTTGACATTTTGAATCAGAGGGAGCTGTTTAAAATGTCTTCACATTTTCAGAGCACCTGCACCAGGCTTTCTGATACAATTAAAAACACAGGTGTTGCACCGCGCTGTACGTAGCAGCTGCTTTTCTTCTGCATTTGAACTAGCTGCTAGCAGATGGGGGTGAGCTGGGAAGTGGTTCGCCTGGTGACGCGCACAAGTCAGCAGCAGAGCCAGGGACAGCACCACGACCTCCAGACACATCCCTTAACCAAGCGCTCCCTCCCTCGACATGAGCCCGAGGACTCCTGGCTTCATGACACCTGCTCTGCTAAAGTGCCCACCAAAAAAGGCACCATGCATTTCTAAAGAAGAAGTAACAAGTGCTGGCTTACCACATCTCCCCCAAACCTTGCAAACATTGCTCTCTGAATGCTGACAACACCTTGGTCAATAGACGTCCCCACCTTAAAGCAGTAATGAGAGCCAGCGAGGCTGCAAAGGTGCAGGGGGACTCTCGGGGGACTTCACTGAGGCTGCTGAAAAATCCTGCTTTCCTAAACCCCACGAGTTTGGGATGTGGAGGGCGAGGGCAGGGGGAGGATGCGGCAGCCCACAGGGGTGAAGCCCCCTCTCCCTCCTCGCACTGAGCTGTTACCAGTTATGTGTCAGGGTGGTTTGTGGGGGACCGGTCTGTGTTTGTTCGGTGAGACGAGCAGTGTCCACCACCAGCCTCTCTGTCTTGCTATTTCATCTGACCGCTGCCTTCTACGGGGCACTGCTGCCCCAGCACTGCGCCTGTTTTTTTTTATGAAGGGAACAGAGCAGGGTTCGATTACTCAAATCTTTGCAGTTTTCTAGCAATCCCATTTTTCAACTACTGATTGAAAGCCAGTACTCGAGCTCTTTTTCCCCAAGCAAAGCACAGACTCTCCAGGGGGTGAAAAAAGAGCTTGCCAGATTTCAAGCTCCATCTCTTCCAATTTGCAAGCCAGGATTGATTTGGGTCAGTAAACGTAAAGCAAAAGTTCCTATACCACACAGGCACATTCCTCAGATCAAACGGGCTCGCGATTACACATCTCAAACTGCTTGAAGTGCGTAATACTGAAAGGCTCCGTGATGGGAAATGAGTGACATGACAGTAAGCGGGAGAGGAGGAAGCCCTCCGTGCACCGCTCCATCCCACAGGTAGGTGGGCAGCCCTGTACGAACCACCAAAGAGTACTTGCATTTCCTGGCAGCCCGTGTTATTGCAAGACCTTTTGCTGAGCAGGCTCTGGTGAGTCAGCATGAGTTCACGCACTTACAGCGAGGGAGTGCTGGATGCATTGATTTTCTGAAGTTAAAACTGCACGGGCTAAGCCTCCGGAGATCACGCTCGCGAGATAGCGCAGTGCTGTTACTGGCCGCGCTGCTCAGGGACGTTAACAGCAGAGGGCAAAACTCTAGAGATGACTTCGTCTAAACGACCCAGTGTGACCACGTCCTGTGCAGAGGGACAATTAATTTCTATTGAAAACTTATTCTGAGGCGTAAAAGGGATTTAAGAGAGGCAGCTTCTTCTCTAATTCTCCCTGACACCAGGCCAAATCAGCAGGAGTTCCACCGAGCTAATAATTAGGGCTCATCAAAATCTGGTATCAAATTATTTCTCTTTTGGGGAAAAAAAAAAAAAAAAAGGCTTTTTCTTCACCTTTCTTTTGGTTGAAATTTTTTACTACATGTAAAACTAGAGGACTTTCATGAAAATGGATTATTTTTTTATGGCTCAAAAGTTTTTTCGAAAATGGAAACAAAAACTTACTTGGTGCAAAAGCACAATCTGTCAATAAGAAATTTTAGAGATTGTTTTCTCAAAAATATCCATATTTAACAATATTTTTATCACATCTTTGATCCATTTCTGACATTACCCATGTGCATTCACCTTGTATTCCTTTCCAAAGGGACTGTCCAATATGGCCAAGAAAAGAATTTGTCTGTGGCAGCAGGAAATTATAGGGACTATCTGGTTTCACTTTCATTGAAAGTCTTATTTTTTTGCGCGCTCCATGCAGCTTCTTCAGTTGGACTTCCTCTAGAATTTACTTTTTATTTCATTTAACAATGTGTAGGAGCACAGCGCTTGACACAAGTCCTAGGTTAACCATCCAGCAGTCTTGAGTTTCACAGCTCTCAGGACAAGTAAAACAGCCCGTTGCTCTGACTTGCCCAAGTGTCTCCATAGTGCCTGCAGATCTCCCCAAAAAATTCATTTCCCAGTGCAACCCATCCCTGGCCTGGTACAGATATGTTAGTAACATATCTGACTGTCATCTCAAAATGTTTATAGCTAGACATTTAAGACTGGACCAAGCCATCAAAATGCTCCAAGCAAACTACAGAGAAAATATCAGAGTGTGATAGTTTTAAGTCTCCACTAAACCTTGTTAGCTGAAGATGTAAAAGGAAGCATCTCCTGCCATCTTTGTTCTCCCATCTCTCATATTTTCCTACTAAGGTCTGCAGCTTTTTTAGCTTGTGTGGTGGAACAACGGGGACGAAACTCGTAATGTGCTGCTAACTTAAACCCCAAGCGATTATCACACTTTGTTTGTGAAGCAGGCAGCACGGCAGTGTTAGTGATTCATGTGGAGTAATACTTCTGATGTTAAAAAAGCAGCTTTGGATTTTATGCTTTTAATATAGAAGCAGCAGACAAATCCACTTTAAAAGGTCCCTTTTGGAATTCCTAGACTGTCTCACAATATGTGCTGACTGTATCTATGACTGCACTGTAAACAGAATCCTTCACGTATCTGGAGAGGGGAAGGGTTAAAGGAATTACATGAAAAATACAGAAAATATTCAAACAATGAAAGTGGCCAAAAAAAAAAAAAAGAGAGAGAGAGAGTTCATTCCAAAGGAGGAAAACATGCTGAATGCTACTTCTTATTTATGCTGTGAAAGCACCTTTGCATCCCAGGGCTGGACCCAGCGAGCCAGCCCTGGGACTTGGGGCCTGATCCTGAATGACAGCAGCTCTCATTTTCTAAACGGTGGTTCGCAGCGTTTGCTGCCAGCCCGCTGCAGTGCCACCTCCTGCAGCGGCCAGAGCTGAGCTGAGCTGGGGAGCGTCTCTCCAGGCAGGGACTGGGGTGCACCAGTGCAGAGCCTCCCTGCTGCAGGCATCTCCCCAGCGTGCAGGAGGACCGGGAGCCCCTCTCCTTGCTTTCTTACCCCTTCGGCCAGACACGATGGCCACGGTGACTCGCACCACGGCCAGCTGCAGAGCCACTGATGCACCCGGGGGCTGGCACAAGGATGAGGAGGGGCCACTGCCCTGAGCTGCCACCTCCGGGGCCACCACAGCTCCTAACGCCATGATCACACATGCGCCCTCATGGACCATTCCTGACTACAGACGCACTTTTTAGGCACAGGCAAAAGGATTCCCATTACCGCTTTTTCTACGTATCTCCTGAAATCTGGTGGCTCTGGCTGTTCCCACTCTTCCCCACGCCCAGGGTTCACCCTGGTTCACCCTGACGTCTCTCCTGAAGATCTCAATAGCATGGTCCTCTCCTGAGCACCTCTCCCCAGGCTCTCTGCTCTGCACTTTCTCTGCACGGCAACAGGACATTTATTTTTAATCTTCTGTCTTCATTTGCAACTTCTACCTGACATGGATGAGAATGCAAGCGTGACAGTTGTCTTCAGAGAGATTTTAGCACTCCAGGTTCAGAAAGTCCAATCTGCTGGATGATGCCGATCTTGGAAACAACATTAATTTTTCATGCAGGACTGAGTGACAGAGCGGAGGCCCTGGGCGCGCCGCACAACGGGGAGCAGCGCAGAGAGCTGGTGTGTCCTCACAGCACCACACAGCACCCTGGTTGGGTCAGGGCAGTCCTACCGTGGTTGCAAAGGGCTGCGCAAGAGTAGCAGATGCTGTTTCCCACTCCAGCCCGGTTTGCACGGGCTCAGCTCCAGGCGCCTCCTCCCGCCTGCTCGGTGTCCACAGAAAGGGGACCAACCTCTCTCTGAGCAGTGAGGAGGAGGAGGCGCATGTGCCTTCGGCCCAGCGCTGTTGGTGAGCGTGGCAGCTCGAGGCAGCACACCTCCACCCCGCCTCGCTCCTCTCCCATTTGGCTAACCAGCTCCTGAGACCACTCCGATCACAAGGAGCAAGGTTTGCTGCCATAAGGTTTTTGCTCTACACATCCCAAACCTTCTCACCTCCCACCCCTGTCTTTCTGAACATAAGCTCTTTGGGAAGATGCTCGGTGTCTATACAGGGCCTCTTGCACCGGTGTCCTAGCTCTGGTTGATCCTTAGGCATAAACACCGCTGACAATAATAATGCTGACTGAGAGGTAACACAAGTTTTTCTCCCTATTTACTGTAATAAGTGCCACTAAAACTGAATTTATAGTAACAAATAAGGATGTTCCTCGGCTGAAAAGTATTCACTTAATTCTCATTAGCTGGGAACAAGGCTGGAATAGTAATCAGTATGTTAGAAATCCCACAATTTACCTGGGCTTATGGAAAAATTGCATACCTTGCCAACTGAACATACCAACCTAAAAATGCATCCATATTATTCACAGTGTACTGCCTAGAAATATAACGTCAGGGCTTTGGTCCAAGTTGCTGAAGCACAATAATTATATTTTTTATGCAGATTTTACATCTGATGGATTATAAAATATCATGTCTAGCCACAGTCTTTTAGAAGAATAGGAACACAGAGAAACAATAGGACTTTAACTAGGTCAAGATTGCTAATCAGAATGTAGCAGTCACTACTGTGTGCAAAACAAATAGGCATGAAAGATCTGTATTTCTTATCCTGCAAGCTGTCTATTTGTCTTCTGGAGAAGTCTTCTCTGTTCTTTTTTTTTCTTTTTGTTTTTAAGATCCTTTTCAACCATGAATAAATTAACAATCACTTTATGCGAAATCTACAGAAATTTATGTCAACGTTTATTACCATGAAATGTGGAACAAAGCATAATGCAACCTGAGCTTTGGGAAATGCGACTGCTTAGCTGGTCCTATCCTGATGAGAAGGAAATATCAAATGCATTATAAATGTTGACAAGATGATCAGGCATGTAAAAGAGGTCATCCAACGCCACCCTCCACATTGTTTACCAGTTTTGTAAGTCAGCTTAAAGTATTACAAACACATACTGTCTTGCACAGGAAGCTCCTAATCCTTAAAACCATGGCTGATGTTATTTGATTTGCCTTTTAGAGATCAATAGCATAGCAGATTTCACCTAAGGAAAGCCCGCCGAGAGCAGTCTGGTCCTGGTTTTCTGCCCAGCATCGCTTCCAAACTGGCTGCGCGAAGGGTGTGTAGCTTCATTAAAGCACATATCCATGCCCACACATGGGCTTTTATTCCCTATCTAAGCACCTATCTCCTCTGCAACACTCTGTATCAAAAGCTCAATCAATGGAGAAAGACAGCAGCCAGCCATCCAGCCTTGGAAAATAAGGAAATATTCAGGCTGTTTCTCTCTTCCTGCAAATCAATGTGTCGCACAGGACACTCACGCCAACTGTTTGGCCTTGAGGTCTTCTGCAGAGTAAGTTATAGTTCACAGGAGATACAGTCATCACTTGTCAATTGGAAAAAAAAGATCCCTTCAGTATATTACCCAGTCATCCTTCCAGGATCAGACTCTATCAGCCAGGAAAAGGAGGGCCTGCTTCAATCAGAACTGCCTTCCATCACTGCATCAACTAAGACTCTTAATGAGCAACTGGAAAAATGGCTTCTTGTTAGGAGGAAGGAATCCTGATACTCTGCCAAAAACTTCAATGGAGAAGTGATATTTAGGATCAAATCCAGGCCTGTGGTAAGAGAACGTCTCTAACAAGGTTGCTGCACTTCCTTGATGGCTGGGTTTGACCTGTATTGGCATCTTCCTCCTGCCTCTCCCCATCATGCATGTTCACCCCATTAAGAAGGACATAAAGTAAAAGCAGTACACTTAATAGCCATTTCCAAAACCTTCAGCTTAAACATGCAGGGTCAGGACAGGCCAAGTGCACCCCATCAATAGTTTGACCTATATGGGCAGAATAGGCAAAAATTTAGAGGGTTTTGGAGACAAGTAACAGCAATGATTTAAGAGCTTTGAAGATACTCCTATGAAGAGAACAGACAACAGAAGGGACAAACAAAACAGAAAATTATGAAAGTTTCTATAATAAGACTCTAACATTAACTGCAGATCAAGAAGGCATTTAGCAAACTTGAACAGCAGTAAATTCAATCCCAATGAAATGATAAACTTTGTCTTCCAACGTGGATAGAGTCTAAGGAACTACATGACAGAACCAAAGCTCAGCAAGATCTAAAGAGGGACTGAGCACTTGTTTGGAAATAGGAAGATCCTGACTGACGAAAGGTGATGATAAAATATTTAGAAGGGGATGTGAAATACTGAACACCAAGATTCAAACCAGTCTACGGTTCATGGGGACCGGCTACAGTTGTCAGTGGGCAGGGGAGAAAGAGGTAAGGGGGAGGACTGGTGGTTTTTGCAGGCCTATCAAGGTGATTGTGTATCTTCCCCTGATATATTTCTCATTGCTATCGATGAGATGCTCCAAGGGTTTAGAAAGAACACGTCTGGCCATGTTTCACAACTCCTGTATTTCCAACACTTTAGAAGTCTGGAAGAAAACTCTAAAAATGGGAGTCATTTGGCAGGTATCTAAATGTTTACTACTAATTGTACCCCTGAGTTTCAGTTTTAGCCTGAACACACAGACAGAATGACAGAAAGAATGAATAGTAAAAATCGGTCTGAGACAATGGGAGATCATTAGCAGGTTACAGGAGTTCTGAATGCCTTGTTGTCTTGGAATACCACAAGTTGCCATTCAGGTGATTTTTCATTATTTGGTCTTTCTTTGAGTACCATCTTGATGATATTTTATGAAAGGGTTGAAAGAATCCAAACCCAAGAATATGGCTAGAAAGGGTGAATGGAAAGGTTTGGAAACAAGCCAACACCCAGGAAGAAAGGCTCCAGGAGCTGGAGAAGGCCAGTGCGGATAGAGGGGACCAGGAGCAGCCTGGGGTAAGAAAAAGGCACCTACAAGCTAAAAAAAAAAACCCCCCAAAATTCAGGTAGTGAAAAGCTTGTGAGATTGTGCTGAAAAGGAATGTAAGAAATGACAAGCAGAGTGGAGAGGATGAGTGAAAGATGTTTGCACAAGTAGACAAGTCAAATGCATGGAGATATCTCTGAAGAAAGCGAAGATAAGTTTTCTGGCTTTCTTTTTCTCTCTGATTAGCAAAGACAAAATTTGATAGTACAGAGCATCTAGCAAAAGCTTGGTTTTTGCAAAAAGATGTGCTTTGGCAAAAGGAGGTGACATTGCAGCAAGGTTCACGTGTCTCAAGAGCTGTTGATTCTGCACCAGATGCCATCATCACATGTTTTAAAAATGTAACACTGAACAGCATTACACTGGTCACTGGAGAGGTAGGAAGAGTATGCGAAGACCCGATGTGGTGCAGGGAAGGGATGGAAGAGGGTAAGAAAACGTGAGAGCCGTGCCTTGGCCTGTCTGTGGGAGACAGGCTCCATGGCGGTGCCGTCCCTCAGCAGCCCTGACGGACTGAGGAGAGGCTCGCGGAGACAGTGCCAAGGCCGGACTTGCAAACCTCCCCAGCAATGAGGGGACGCAGTTCGCACACCGCAGCCGTTCAGCTCGTTTGTCCTGCCCCTCCGGGGCGAAGCCCTGCTGCTGAGCACACACCGTGGTTTGTGGCTTGGAGCGGCAATGCCAGTGACTAAGACTGTCAGTGCAATCCCCCGCTGCGGACGGTCACGTCTCTGCAGCCACCCAGTCTCCTAGGAGCCTTTGTACTGAATGACATTATCCCAACTACAGCTTTCTTCGAGGGGATCGTTGGTCCTAGACTCATCACCGAGTCCCGTGAGACACAGTGGGACGTTAAGCAGCTGATGAAGATGCTCCTGGTAGTTCTGGACAGGAGCCCATCCCCGCCAGATATGCATTACATCTCCTGTGGTGGTAAACCACGAAGGGTCACCACAAAACTTTCAGGTATTTTTGGCCACTATGGCAGTTTTCAGTGAATGGGACAGAAGTGGATTCATTACAACTGATGCTTCCTATATGCCGTATTTCCTATCTGCACCTATCACTTGTTGAGGGAATTCATACAAATAGGAACAGCACTGAAAAATGGCCAGTTCTAGGCCTCTCAAAGATAACAGCCATTCTCAAAGTCATATTTTCCTCCACAGCGGCCTTGAGTCTGTTTCTAGAGACAATTGTAATCGCTGGCTTTGAAGATTCAAAATCAGAAAAATTCCCTGTTTAGCA